CCCCAAAACCCCAAAACCCCAAAACCCCAAAACCCCAGACATGTGTAGAGAGGTTGAAAACAGATTTATTATAAATTTACTTCAGCTCAAAACTTGGTGAAAATTATTTTTGCAAAATTTCTGATGAATTAAGAATAAAGAAAAAACCAAAATTTCAAATATATGCATCTTTAAAAAGCTCATTAAGGTTTAATGAGTGAAGTTTAGAGGAATTTATCTCGTCAGACTTAAGCCTCTCAGCTTACTAAATTAATGTCAAAGGTATTTCTCTTAACATTTGCCAAGCATCTTCTTTATCTAATCCTATCTCTGCCCTCCTCATCTCTAAACTAAGCAAATTATCACGAATGTGCTCGCCATCTACAATCCTTGAGCTTCCCAACCACTCTATTGCTTTTCTATAAAACCAGCACATTCCTCAACAGGAAAGTATGATTCTCTAAAGCCCAAATTCAGCTTATAGCTATCCAGAGCTGAAATTCCTAACTAGACTTCAAAATGTAGGTAAAAGTCCTTCTTAGACATCTACAGGTGAAATCTCTACACAAATCCTTTAGTGACCCTAGCTCAGGCTTCCCAGCATCATTTGAGGCGATCTTAAGAATGTGGTATTTAGGAAATTTATTCTCTAAAAAGCCAGAGATCAAGAAGATATCCCTATCTTTTGGATATACCGAAGAATTTACCCAGTATAGCATGGTATAGTACTCCAGACATATTCTAGGGTCCAAGGCCACTACCCAGAGTCCCCTTTGGGACTTTTATGGAGAATAAAAATAAGTGCAAGAAGGTTTAGGAAAGAAATCTTATCAAAATTTTCAATTAGTTTCTGTTATTGGTGTGGAACCTACTCTGAGTTAGGAACCTTTTTCAGCCTTCGTGTTGTAAAATCAAGTGCAGTAGGACTGCATGGCTAGCTGGATGTAAGGCATTGGGTTGAAATTGCCTTGAGAGACGGATTCGTTGGAGTTTCTAGTGAAGTTTGTGCTTATTGACTGCAGGTTTCCTATTTCATGTTAGGTTAGACCAATATAGGGCAGTGAAGTTTTCGCAAACAAATTTATTCAGAATGTGTTCCTGCTTGATGAGCTTTTGCAAGGAATTGTAAAAGGATTAACTGTTAGTAAGTAAATATTAGATTCTTTGCAATTTAGATAACATACTAACATATAATATGAACATTTCAAAATTATGTCCAGCCTACTGCATTGATGATACTAAGTGAAATGGGATAAGACAGAAGGAAAGTAAGAAATAGTCTTGAAACATCAATCTAGCATGTTTTAGATGCTAATGATTAACAAACAGGCTGTATCTCTCCAACCTTGACCATTCTTTAGCATCTGACTTCCTTAATGAGCATTAAAGATGTAGGAGATAGTATGCTTCAAATATAGATTCTATTATATCTCCACATGGTTAAATGTGAACTGCAATTTCATGGAGCTCTTACAGCTTCATCATGATAGATTAAACACCAGAACTAGTTAATTTTAAGAGCTAGAATAGTGCTTACCTCAACTCATGTTCGAGATCTCCTTCATTCTTTTCATTGGTGGTTGCTCAGGTACGAAACTTCCCGCTTCTGAGTTATAAATCAATTGTTGTAGGGAAGCTATAGAGATTTTAGTACTCAAAATCCATGGTTTATTCAGTTAAAGAGATACACAAGAGAAAAATGCTTCTCTAATTGAAATAGTGAAGTCTGAAGCAATAAGAATAAGCACTTTCACTAGCCGAAAGCCTCATTTGCCAAAATATATAGTCTAAATGTTCTTTTGAAATCAAGCTGAATCTGCAAGAAGAATGGTTTACTTACATAGAGGCTTGATAATAATCTTAGATGGCTGAGATGGGACGATTGCCTGAGTATTGTCTGATCATCTGATCATTTTACATGGTATTTTCATTTCAATCTTATTTCCTTGGATAAGCATGCTAGTGTTGTTAAGTTCAATCTTAGTTCCTTTGCTACTCTTCGTATTTTCAGATCTATATCTTCTGTAAGTTACAGTAATGGAATATAAGTGAAATGAAGCTTATGCCCTATTATTAGTAGTATTAGGAACAGAAATTTATGTGCTTTCTTACGTATTTCTTGCATATTTTTCTTTTCTAGCCTGGATTATCTTTGTGATCAATTCTGCTTTATCACTAACTTCTGTCTTTGACCTATGGATTTTCTCTGCATGTTTCTTCATCTTAGACAAACTGACTTGGTAGTACTCCGATTTGCCACAGCTTCGGTCAGCTTTGGACTTAAAATAGCCACTGCTGCTAGAGTCTTCGTGGTACTTTTGGAGGTACTTTATGTGTCGCTTTTTATGTTTAGATGTTTGCTCCCTAGATCTTGAAGCAGACTGTTCTCTATCAGCTGGAACTGGAGCTTTATTAAGCTCTTCATATCCCTCAGTGAATGGAGCTGGCTTCAGATTTCCATATCCCTCTGGGGCTGGAGCTGGCTTGAGTTCGGTATAATTCTGATGAGCAGGAATCATAGCCTCATCTTCTTCCTTATTCTTGTCAAATTTGGACTTATCAAACTTGTAAAAGGGTGATACATCACACATGTTCTTCAAGATATATTCCATTGGGTTATTGGTGTTATAATCCTTCTTGATCCTATTGAAGTACTTCTGGCAATGTGATCTGATCTGGAGACTATTCCTTGTAGGTATCTACAGAGATGAACCCAGGGGCTTACCATTTCGTCTAATTTATCCCAGTCTTTGCCGTATGTTTTCAAGCCTAGAGAGGTAACAATAATGCTTACAGTTGATGAACTGGGCATGTTCTTCTGTAGTCCACCTTCCTACGGTTTTCTTTCTCCTCACTGGGAGGTACTGCATTCCCTATTACAAGTGTGAGAGTCTGATAGAGGGATTTTTTAATTAGAGCTTACAGCAGGGAACATAGGGGCTTCTCTAGTCATTTGGCTGTTTTCTTGTGAATAATTTTGGTTCCTTATCATACTATAAAGAGGTAAATTAAGGTTTTAGTGAAGGCAAAAGTGAAATCTTGGATTTTAGGAAGGATTATGCAGAGTTCTAGGCCTATTTCGAGCTAAACAAAGCGGTTTTATCGTGTTTAAAGGAGGATATACAAGTTGGGCCAGTTTAGAGGTATAAGAGCTTGAGGGTCACAAGAGACTTGATTTTGAAGGAGCTTAAAAGTATTTTTATGGGATATTTGTAGGGTTTATAGTACGAATTTTGAATAAATTAACAACTTTACCAACTCATCTTAACCCACTCTACACCATTCTTAAAATTTTAAGATATTTAGTATTTCATAATTAATAGAAATAACCTGATGCTAAATTCTTATCCTATCATCAGCAAAAGAGTGAAAGCCTTCAACCTAAGCATCTTGCTTAAAATCTCTACCTCAAACAACTTTCCTCTTAAGGCTGATTTATTTTTGTTCTCTTCTCTAAGCCACTACTAAATTAACCTCTACTATTGGCTGAGCCCTCTCTAACCTCGAGTGCTGTCTTCAGGCTGTTAATCTACTAAAGAACTGCTAGAGGCAGGTTTGGATATCTAAATATGCCGTTCACCTAATTTCGCGGTCAAAATATATCTCAAGGAGGCTGAGGGCTCATTCGAAGTTTGCTTCTCAAAAATATTTAAAAGATTCTCGTTATGATAGATTTTCAAAATGTATGAAAAGCTCTAATCTGCTTTAAAACTTACTACATGAAGCCTGGCAACCAGCAAGGCTTGTTAAAGAGTAAGACGGGCAAACCTGATTGGTACGGAAAGAATTTACTAATCGGTTGGGTAATTTAAAATTTACACCGAATTATGAGATTTGTGGAAAAATGTCACTAAACATTCTTAGCATAGTACCTTAAAAGAGATCAATGCCAGTTGCCTTTTAGGTTTGGTGGATTTAGCCTGTAATAAATTGGCGGAAATTACCCTACTAGCTAAGTCCATCCTGCCTCTCAGAGTACTAGATCAGGAAAAATTATGAATTTTCGCTGAAATCAGGAGGTTTGCGATGAATTTTTTGAAAAGTTAACCCTAGAGCCTGGACAGCTTCAAAGATGTAATAATTTTAATCACAAATTAAATAAAAAATGTCAAGTGTTCTCCTTACAATACCCAGTCCTTTCAGGAAAAAGTAATAAAGTCTTTAATTTTTAAGGCATTATGAAAATTTCCTAGGTCAAGCAGAGACAATATTTATAGAATTAAGAAATCTTTTAGCTCAAGCTAGCCGACTCAAAACATCTTCTAATAATCGAAATAAATCGAATAGGCAGTCTAATGAGCAAAGATAATAAAGAAGTTCAGAAAGCTAGGATGTTATTTTTGGCCAAAATATCACAATGTCTCATACTAATTCCTAAAACCTTGCAATCCCCGCTCAAATCCCTCTTCAGTCAACTCCTTGAGCTATTCCAGCCATTTTCAGATATTAAAAATCTTTTAGAGTAACCCACAGTAGGCTTAACTAGTATATTCATAAAAGTTTGGATAAATTTTGTACTGGGGATCTGGGCGCATTAAATTTTTAGCTGGGAAAAACAGCTTATGAATGGGCAGTTTTGGATGGATGCAGGAGTGAGGAAGACGAAGGGCTGGAGTGAATGGAGGAAGTTATTAGGGTGGCTTACCTTCTTTATGTATATTTTCAATAATTATAATAAATTTGGGGTTTTGGGGTTTTGGGGTTTTGGGGTTTTGGGG